GCATTGTATTTTGAAGACTCTGTCACTGGAGTTACTGAGCCTTGGAATGATGCTCTGGTTCAGCGTCGGCTGAAAGGATGTGAATCATTTTTCCTGCTTCCGGCAGCAATTGAAGGTGCAGCCTGTCCCGCTGTTACTGAGTCACCCCGCTGGGCTGTGCGCTGTGGCAGCCAGCGTGGTCACCGCTAAGCAGCCCGGCGCTGCTGATAACACACGGCAGCAGAGAAGCAGCTGCGCAGACCTGCCGGTTGGCTTGGCTGTCCTTGCTGTCTGCACGACAGTGCTGCTCTGGGCAGCTGCACAGGGCACGTAATGTATGACGTGGGAGTAGTTGTGCCCTTTGGGTCTTACAACCCTCTTTTTGAGACCAAGCACGTTCAGGAGCTTTCCAAATTAGGTGTCACTTGATGTAAAGCTTTCCGGGAACTAGAGGAGGTCCTGGGCGCTCTGTCCATGCATCCCAAAAGCTCCTGAGGAGCAGGTCATTGCTTGCATGTAGGTTGCTGTCTGGGACTTCTCTGAGAACCTGTGCTGGCCTATTAAGAAACTGCTGGTTCAGTGGACGGGTTAATGAGTGGGAGGCTTGCAGCTGCTGTGAATAGGAGCTACTCAGTAGAGATTTGCTCCAGAATCCTAGATTTTGGTAAGAAGCTGTGCACTCCTTCTGCCAGCATGAGGGGATTCAATTACACTTGTTTTCTGACTGGTTAATCCGCTCCTGTGAAGGACAGAAAGAACCTGGACCAGGCTCAGATGCACGTAACATAGTCTCAGACTCCTGGTACTCTGCAGGGTTCTGCTGTGTGGGAAAGGAATCTTTGTATGTTGTTCTGGAAAGGGGCAATGCGTAGGTAGATACCACCCGTGTTGGGGGTCAGCCGTGAGTAATGAAGATACCCTTGTTTTATGAAGGCTGGTCATAAACACCAAATAGCATTTGCAGGCCCAAAAGAGGCAAATGCGCTACAAACTTGTGCGATTCAGGCCTTGGTGAAACACGTGGATGCTGTGACCAAACTCTCCCAGTTGGTGGAAAGGTTTGATGGGTCTGATAATGGAGATGATGTGTCTCTTGTGGGCTTTCTCAACCTGTGGAACACTGATTGCAAAGGCTGTTGCACGGTGACAGAAGAAGGGGTTTTATAGAGACTTTGTTTAGTACTGGTTGGTTCTGGAGAACTTGGTTTAGGATAGGAAGAATGAAATTCAAAAATTTTACTAGTGTTCCTCTCAGTCATGGATGGTCCAAACCCCAAAACACAGCAAGGCTTCCACAGGGGCCACCAGAAGCTGAAACCCATTTTGAAACACATCTGAGTGGATATGCAGGCTCTGGATGGTGCGCAGTAATTTTCCTTTCCTCTCAATGGGCACATCATTTTAAGGATACTTTAAAGTGTGCCCCTTTGGTGGTGATTTTAAATTAGGCTGCTTTACTTAAGTTGTCTAGGAGCTTTGCAGAGTTCAGCTGAGGGTGAATGGATCTGGGCATTTCTTGAAGCATTCTGCAAACGTCTGTTTGAAGATACCCTAGGTCTGCACTTCCCGAGATGCAAAGAAAACTATTCCCCATGGTTTCAACCTATATTTTAGCCTGAGATCAATGTACAGACTAAAAAAAAACACAAACTGAGGTCATTTTGTACTTAAATCTAAGGCCAGAAGGGATCAGCTAATATAATGGCTTGTATGTTATTGTTTTACGAAGTAGTTTTTGTCTGTAATTAAAGCAACTTGTATTTGCTTCTGGAAAGATACTCTGTTTCACTTAACCTGATGACATTAAGAGAAAGGAAATTCATGGCTTCTTCCACTGTCTAATATCAATCTTTTTCTTTCTGATTTCAGACAGCTTGGACCCACTGTCTAGCTTTTGTCATTTAAGGCTCTAGTTTATTGGATTAAAAGACTTTTTTAACCCATAACTTCCTCAGCTGGTAAGTGAGCAATATAACATATGTATAATATAACATATGCAGTATAACTAATCAAATCGCCCTCAGTCATCATCTTGTTTAACTAAATTAAGCTTAAAGTCTCTTATTGTAAATGTATTTTCATGTTTGTTTCCTGCACCAGCTTTGACTTTTAAATTTTTTTTTTTAACCTTCTTGAAATGCAGTGCAATGAATTGCACTTGCTGGGAGAAAAAAAAAAAAAAAAAGTAATGAAATGCTAATGTTCTATAAGGAGCTAAAAATCCCATGGAAGTAGAGAGACTGTTTTTTTCTCCCCCTTCCTTTTTCTTTAGCTTAGCTCATGCAGAAGTCTAGAGGCTTAAAGTGCACTACTTAGTGACACCATCCATTCAGATAACTGTGAACTTAGGAAATCTCCATAAAAGAGAGTGTAACTGCAACTTGGAACCAGGCATCTCGTGCAAGAAAATGAAAATATATTTTAGGAAGCAGAGGAAAGATTAGGCTTCTGGTTAAAACAGCTGGATTAGTGGATTGTTTGGATCCTTGAGTTTTCCATGTGTTTCCTACGTGACCTTATTCAAACCAGCGTGCCCATCTATGGAGCAAGATGTTCTCCTCCCGGGTCCCATTCATACTGGCTTGTGTGTTTCTGTGGTTCCAGTCAGCATGGCCCCAGCTGTGGCTGGTGGGGCAACCTCAGGAGGAGACATGCTGTTCTCATCACCAGAGAAAAGAAGCTGAGGTCTCAGTGTGTTCCAGAAGCTGAGCACTAGATTTGTAAAACCCAGGTGTCTGCACCCACGTCCCTGCAGGGTAGTTAGGGCTCGAGACGTACTTCGGACAGGGGGTGTGTGTGTGCATGCACAGCTATACTTGGAGATGGGCCCATAAATTGGAAAATCCCGAAATTGAGCTCCAACAGTTGGAGATGTCAAGACTGGATGTCCCCTTGGGGGTGTTACCTGTGGAAAGTTTACCATAATGTGGCAAGGCTCTGGATGCCGGGATTAACCAACATTCATCCCAACACACTTCTCAGAAATAAATCCTCCTTTTTTGTGACTAGTTTCAATAACTTTCTGCTAATGACAGCATCTTGGATGGTAGGAAATGTAAGCTCTGTGCTACAGACAGGAGTGAACTATATGTTTAGCAGAAGTTTCCCTCATGACGTGTGTGTGCATCCCCTACCCCTACTGCTGAGGGCTGGACTGAATTTTTATTATTCAGTGTAATTTCTTAAATTGGAATAGAGACTGAAATGTTTGTTTATTTGGAGAGGAAAACTCTGTAGAGAGCTACATGATACTTGCTAGTGGGAGACAAAGGAAGATGTAAATTCATTTGGATGATCTGAAAGCTCAATCTTGCCTCCTGGCCAGAGGGCTCTGACAAAAGACCTGGTACTTGTTGCCAAGAGGTTAGGGGAAGGTTTGAACTGTAAGTCCTCCCAGCTGACCTGGTCTAACAAGGAGCAGTTTTCCCCTGCAACAGGTGTGACTGACTGACATGCAAAGAGAGGGGAAAATGAGCCCTTCTTTCTATTCTTCTTCAACTGCATATCAAACGAGAGTTCTCCTGTTAGTGTGCTGCTCCTCTCTCCTTTTACAAGGCAGTGCAGTCAGATCAGATAGTCTGTTTGTATTACTTTGGAATGGAAAAGAATAAAGGCAGTTTTTATAAAGAAGGACTTGAAAAGGCTTCACTGTTTTTTCATCAGAGCTGCTGGAAACCTTCCTTTCCCCCCACTGCCCCTTCCTCAGTCCCACCCCCAAAATGCTCACCTCTTCCTGCTTTTGTCAGGGAAGTGTCAGATTTGACACCTTTGCAGTAAGGTACAGAAATGCAAATGGAGAAATCCAGCAACACCTAATCAGAGGATGTAAACTTTCTGTGAACCTAATTTGTGGATTAAAAAAAAAAAAAAAGCCATATTGCTAACACATTTCTAGAGTGCTTTTGACACTTTAAAAACCTAATCCTATTGCTTTGACCTGGCTTTCTCTTTTCAGCTAATCCAGGACTGATGTGCACAGGGGAAAGGCCTGTTACCCAACCTTACAGCCCCTCTGCCTGTTTCTTCCTGCAGCAACAGGGAGGGGCTGTGCCCAGGTCTCCAGCAGTTGTGGCAGATGTGCAGGGGGCCCAGCACGAGCCTGGAGGGTCACCCCAGGTATGAGAAGTGCAGCAGCACCGTACACAGGACAAGGAGCAGGTAAAGGTGGGGAAGGCCAGCTTCAGCTCTGCTTTTCCAGGGCCACTATAGGAAAAATCAGGCAAGACCTCTGCAACACTGCTTAGCAGGGATGACTCTGCTGCCAGCCCCCCCCCCCTCCATGAAAGCTGGCATTTGTATGTTGACTCTGGGCTGTGTTTCTGTCACTGAAGTGTCAGGGTTTGCACTTGCTCTCACAGCAGAGCCCTAACCTGGGGGTCTTTCATCTCATGGAACTGAAGCCCAGCAGAGGGGCTGGGATGCTTAGGACCACAGGCTGGGCTGGGGGGGGGGCTGCTGCGGTGTTAGGGGAACAGGCTCTGGCTTTACCACCCTCTTGAGAGTGCCTTACAGAAAAGGGGTGTCCTCTAGCTGTGAAAAGCAAGGGCCACTATATTAGGGTAGCAGAGTAACATACTGTGATGTGTAATGTCTGATCTTCCCTTGGTGATTAGGGCAAGGTATTGTTATTTGGGCTGAGCAGAAAAGGACAGGGAAGTATCAAGTGCTATGTGATACCCTGGGGGAAGTAGCTTTATAAAAATAAATCTGGCCTTGTGCTGGGGCTAGAGAGGTGCAGGCTTAGTCCAAGAGGTCATCTTCTGTGTAGGGTGTTACTTTTAGTGCAAGTGTCCCAGTCTCCTCTTTCATTTACACTTCAAAACACTAACCTCCCTCCCTAAAGCAGAAAGGTCACTACAGCAGCTCTCACCTCCCCCTGCTCAGATAGTTTTTGCCCTTCTCCCCCCAGTTCAAAGGGAATTTAGTGCAAAAGGCGATGAAAAGAACCAAACAAATGTGATAGCCATCTCTGAATAAGAACACCTACCTCAGGTAACAAAGAAAATTACAAAGGAGAGGTCTTACCAGTATCTTAGTTTCCATTTTTATTATTCCATAGGGTTGTTAACAAAAGGAAGTTACATGTCTAGTTTCTTGGCAGTCAGGTTGCTTGTTCTATGTTTGGGAACTTCCATGCATTAAGAAACTTCATGATCCTTTTTTGTTTTCTCTTTTTACAATGACAGCTCTCTGAAAGCTATTATCACAGCATAAATAACCTGGCATCTCCCACTAGTGTTAAATCTCATGTACGAGAACATCAGGGCTTCCCCGCTCCAGCCCACTAGAAACATTTTTTTAATTTTAAAGAGTACTTTCCAAATCCATTGCACACACTATTAAACTTTGCACTCAAGAATGGAAAAAAAAATAATTCCAAACAACCAAAACAAAAACAAACCACTGAACCCCAGCCCCCTGTGAAGTCATGGCCCACAAGCAGACTGCCCCAGCACTTCTGAAGTCAGGAGTGTAGATGGATGAGCAATACCTTCGGGTGGCAGATCAAGTAGAGTAGGTTTGAGACTGGCATCCAGATAGGAGTAGCCCAGAAATCTGTGGCCCAAGATCAACCTTACAGTAGTATGACCCTGTAATAACTTAAGTGTCTTCTAGTAGTACTAAACAAAAGAAAATTTGAATTCCAATACTTGAGCTAACACTGCTTAGTACAAAAATTAAGTGCTTATCAGCCTTGTTTCTACAATATATCCACACTTTTGTTAACACTTAACAATCAGGAACCGTATTTTTAACCAGTTAGAAGTGTATCACACTCCACAATACATGCAATCAGGTGTGAATTCAGTATTTTTTTATTAAAGTTTAAAAATAAAAAACATTTGACACCCTAATATACATAAAGTCATAAGAAACTCAAATGTGCTAAAAGCAAAATGTGCATAAAACACTCGTTTCTAAAAGGCACCCTGCCACCACTACCTTTCAAACCTTTGTCTAATTCCACTATGTTTCTAGTTTTCTCTTCCTTCACTGAAGGTGAGATTCTAGACTGCTACCACGTACAGATGCTAACCACACCAACCCCTTTCAGGGATCTTCGCTACCACTACAACACTGAAAACTGCGCATGCAGACTTAACTTGAGCTTCTCACGGAGTTAACCACCACGATTCGGAAATGCACGAGGGCTTTTTCTTAAAAGAAAAAGGTAGTGATAGTCGGGCCACTTATAAGGGCCGAGAGAAAGCGACAGGGCTATAAAATAACGGCTGTGTCCACCGAAGAGCTTTGCTACTACAAACCGCCTCCCTCCCGCCGCCCCCCGACCTCTCCTAGAAACACCCCCACCCCCCACCCCTAAAGTTACAAAAATGCCACGCACGCACACACCCCCACACACCCCCCCACGCACACGGATGAAATGTTACCGCGCTTCGCAAGGAGCCCGCCGGGGCCGGGGCCGGGGCCAGCGCTGCCAGGCGCGCTGGGCCGGGGGGGCCCGGCTCCTCCGCCCCCGGGGCGGGGCTGCGCGCCCCCTCCGTTACCAGGGTCTCCACATGGATTTGGGCGAGCCGGGGGAGGGCAGGCTGCGCCTCCGCGAAGCGTCCAGTCCGTCGGTGGGGGTCTGGCCCGGCTCGGCCTCCGCCTCCTCCGAGTCGGAGCAGGTCTCGTCGCTGGGGCAGGGGGAGGGCGCCGAGGCGGGGGGAGCCAGCCCCGGGGAGGCGGCGGCCGCCGGGGCCAGCGCCTGGCCGCCGGGCCAGGGGCCGAGGGCGGGATCCGCCAGAACGTCCGCGACCAAGTCCGGGAAGCCGCCCTCGTTGAGGGGCATGGACTCCAGCAGGTGGTTGAGCAGCTCGGCCGCCGTGGTGGCGTCGATGCCGGGGCAGCTGGAGACGAAGGTGTGCACCTCGTGCATGCACTGGATGTAGCCGGCGGCGAAGCGCTCGCTGGCTTCGCGGTGCAGCCGCCCGCCCTCTGCGCCGCGGGAGACAGAGAGAGGGGGAGCGGGGTGAGGCGCGGCCCGGGCCGGCCCCCCGCCGCCCCGCCGCCACTCACCCAGGGCGCGGCGCTCCAGCACGGCCTGCACCCGCCGCACCGTCAGCTCCAGCACCTCCGCGTTCTCCAGCTTCGCCTGGAACTGAACCCGGGGCGCCGCGGCCGTCAGCTCGGCCCCCGCAGCCCGGCCCCGGCCCCCGGCCCCCGCCCCGCTGCCTCACCTCGCTGTCGGCCAGCAGCAGCCGCAGCTCCTGCAGGCTCTCGTTGATCCGCGCCCGGCGCTTCTTCTCCACCAGCGGCTTCCTCGTCTGCGGGGACAACAGCGCCGTCAGCCCGGCCCCGCCCGCCCGCCCGCCGCGGCACCCCCGGCCGCTCACCTTCCTGTCGGCCCCGGGCTCCGCGCAGTCCCCGTCCCCCCGCGGCGGGCGGCCCTTGCCGGGCCGGAAGGAGGGCGCCATAGCGCTGCCCGCCCGACCCGCTCACCCGCGCCGCTCCGCTCCCCTCCCCGCGCCGCCCTACTTATACCCTCTCATTTGCATCTCAATGAGCCCATTGGCCGCGCCGCGCGGGCAGCCTCCGGAGCGTTGGCCGAACGGACCAATGGGTGGCGGGCTCTTTGTCTTGCGCCGGGGTGGGGGGGCGGGGCGAGGCGCGCCGCCGAAGTCTGTGGTTGGCGTCGGCCGCCCGTGCCGCCGCCGGCGCTGTTGGCCAGGCCCGCTGCGGGTCCGTCCCCGCAGCCTCCCCGGGGCTCCTCACGGCGGGGCGGGGGCCGGCCACGCCCGGCGTGCTGGGGAGGGGACGTGCCCCCTTCCCCTTCCTCCCTCCCCCCCCAAAAAAAACCGCAGCCCGCCACCGAGTTCGGAGCCTCGGGAAACGTGCGTGGGGGGCCGTGGGTGCTCCCGGTCCCCTCCCCACCCGGCGGCCGTGGGGAGCGGGGCCCCGAGCGCTCGGTGCCGCCTGTGGGCCGGCCGGCTTTGTGCGGGGAACTTGATGCTGACGACAGTTGGCAGCTGCAGTTCCCCCACAGGCCGAGGCGAATAAAAGCATCGGGGCCCGTCCCCGAGGAGAGCGACAGGTGTTCGCTCCCGCTCTTTTGTTTCCCTCCTTTTATTCTCCTGCCTGACGCTTGTCATATTTTTACCGCCCCAGGAAACGAGAGACGCATCTCCCGCTTGAATCGGCGTCACCTGCTTCCCTGTTGGGGTGCGACACTGCTCCCCTCCCGCCCTGAAACCCTCTGGGTTTGGTGGTGGTGAGGTTTTCCTCGCTGAGGGATGGTGAGCTGGTGGGCCCGCGGCTGCGCGGAGAGCCCCGGGACCCCCGGCTCTATCGCTTCTTCTCGATCCGCGTCTGTGGGTCGGTGTCCGGCTCACCCCGCGTGGTGCAGCGGGTGATGGCACGCGCTCTGCGACAGGCCGGCGTGGCTCTTGCTCAGTCCCACTAGTATTTAATGCCGCTTTTCATCTTCAGAGCGCCGCATAGGCGTCTGTGCCTGATAAAAAGAGGAAAGCAGGGCAGAGGCGTTCAGCACTGTCTTCTTGCGGCCATCGCAGAGGAGCACATTGGAGATCAAGCCGGCACGTGAAGACCTAAGCTCAGACCACTCTGCTTTTTGTACTGCAATGGACAGGAGATTTTGTTTTCAGAAATTGCCGCTTCTCTTAATGTTTCTTCCTTTTATTTTAAAGCAATGGTGCTTGGATTTTGGCATAGAGTTTGTGCTACGGGTGACGCGTTTCCTTGCACCGGGCAGGAGCGGAGTGCGATGTGCCTGGGGTCGGATGACCGAATCTGTCCTTCTGATTCTGATGTGCCCAACACTCCATGTAAGGCCACGTGGAAACCGCCTCAGCCTTTTCATTGGCACCATTAACGCAGACTAAGCAGCAAATGCCGTGTAGGCCAGGTCAGGTACATAACATCTTTGTCTTTAAGCAAGTAGAGACACCTGTGACTGCATTTTGTGTATGGGTTATTCAGTTAGCCTAAATGGCAGGGAAAAAACACAATTCTATGGGTGCACACTACAGTGAAGTAATGGGTGTCGCCATTTTGGTGGAGCCATCTTTGTTCCTAACCAACACTAGGCCCATAAGGTCAGCAGATGTGTAAAAATACACAAATATAGACACACGTGCACGTTTATAAAACGTGCAGTAGCACACTGAAGGTATGTGGTAAAAGATGAACTCCAGGAGTCTGTGAGCATGTTTTCTCTTCAGAGAAAGCTTAGCTTTTCCTAGCACACGTAAGCAGAGATGCTCAAACAGTGGGTGTAAATTCTGCAGATTTACACAAGGAGCATCGCACCGCTGTGGCTGCAGATGCAGGCCCCAAATCTGTTGGGCCTCTTTACTGCAGCTGTCTGTATCAGTTGTGTTTCAGAGCTAACTTAGGTTAGAGATACTGCAGTATTAACCTAGGAAATAGTGAAGGAGCTGCCGAATTCACCTCAGTTGTGGTCCAGATGTGATTGGGTGATGAACTGCTGGCAGCAGCTGCTGAACAGCAATGATTTCTCACACGCCTCGGATCTGCATGGTTTTGAGCAGTGAGGAGCCACAGGCACAGGGTGAGGATTTATGGGTGCACGAGAAGAGGAGATTCCAGCAGCGGGCTGGCAAATCTTGGCCAAGAGTGGCCAGAGAGAGTTGGCCATGGCTGTAACAACCCATTTCTGTTCTGACTTGGTGGGTGCTGATGGCAAGGCATTTTACACATTGATAGCTCTTGTTCTGCAGTGTGTCTTTTTGTATTTTCTTTGAAAATCTGCAGGTCAAATGAGTTGACAAATGCTGGAGCCGTTTGTGCTGGGCATTAAAAATGTATGTGCCATAAGTGTCAGGGCATTACTAGAGCTGCCATTCTGGAGGAGGAAGTCACTGCAGGCTATCTGCTCCAGCCCACAGGGGTAATGTGACATTTTTGTGCTACTTTAAACAAGTTCCGTCACATCAGGTGAAGCAATTCATGATAACCTCATGCATTTTAATGGAAATGTCAACGGCAATCTAGTAAAAGAAAATGTTCCTTAGATACCTTGTCTAATACCTCAGTGCTTGCCCATGCATGGTGGTTCCTGAAGGGGATTTCAGTAAACCCATCAATTTATCCATATCGTTGCTTCTAGTTTAAGCCCATCCTGCTGTCTGCTGCTGTACAGGCACTGCTGTCTCCTCAGTGGAGGGTGGGAGTTTAGCCCTTGCTAGAGCAGGGAGCTCTGTCCTGCCAGAGGCTGGCGCTCCCACACATGGTGTAAATTACAATTTAGCCCAAGAGCAGTGTGGTTTTAGCAGAGATAATGGGATCAGTGCCTTGCTGCATGTGTTCTCCTGCAAGTCCAGGCACAGAGCAGTATAAAGCAGCATGTAGTAACAGGTTTTAATTCTTTGTAGATCATGTGTGATCACTAATGCAGCTGTGGTGACAGCAGCAAAGGCAACTGTGGGAGACAATTCTGCAGCCTCAGCTACTTGCCATGTGTTTCAGAGGCCCGGGTAAGTGGCAAATCCTGATGAGATGGGGAAGCCTGCCATGTAATGCCTCACACACTTTTGTTTGAGCTGTCAGGTGCATTTGAAAGGTCTCTGTCCCCCAGAAGAACATCCACAGAGATGTAATGCAACCCTGAAAAGTTTTAAGGACTGTGCAGGCAAGGGTGCTGCTATCCATGTTCTTGGGCTTGAGTCAGTAGGTCATCCAGGCTCGCCGTGGATAATATAATCAGAGCACGGGATAAAGACATGATGACCACAGACAAGGTCCATTGAAAATGCTTGAGTAGTTTCTTTCATAAATGGCATAACATCTGTTGTCGTCGGAGGCACAAGTTCCCATCCTTATAAATATTAATGGTGAGTATAAATGGTGGTGGGTGTGAACTGTGGCGGATGTTAGGTTAATGGGTGAATTGCTCCTTAGCCATCAGTTTTCTGTCATCACACTTATTTCTACACTAACAAATACAAACTGTTTAGATAGCAGAGCAAGCAAAGAGTTATCTTCCCCCTCCTCCTCTCCCTGGGGTCCCTTCACAAATGAAATGTGTGCTGCAATTACTCTCCTGCCTTGTCTTTGATGAAAATTAGTCCCGCTCACAGAAGCGAGGTAGAGGGGAGCATGCCTGGAGCTGGAAGAGCAGAGGGCGGTAGGTGATAAATGAAGCGAATGAGGAAGGCTGTTCAGAGAAGTTTGCAGCATTCCCCATCAGCTTGATTCTAGCTGTCTCTAGTGCTGTTAAAAGCAGATGTTTAAGAGGAAAATCATGTTGAATATCGCCACTGAGCTGCTCTTGGACTTGAATCTGTTTGTTACTGCAAATTGTGTTTGCTGCCTTGAGTGCTGAGTTTCTGTTGGCCCTTTCAAAAACCATAAGGCCATTCCTTATCCTTTTTTATTTATCAGCAGACTTGGCAGCAGCGCTCATGTTCATCAGCTGGGGCACAGAAGAACAGTTCATGCCAGCCACAACGCTAATGACTAGCATTCAAAAGGGGCTTATGTCCGCTCACAGATGAGCCCCAAGACTGCGTTTGCTGCCTGTGAAGGCTCGGGTTCCCCTTTGAGAGGATGGGCCCTGCTTTCTGCAGTTTCAGGGGGGCTCGTGGTCATATTCAAATACAACAAGCGGTGGGGGGCTGTGCTGAGCAAGTAGTGAGGACGACAGAGCCTCTCCCCACGGGTGAGTGACGGATGGGTGTCGTGCACTGGGGGCCAGTGTAAAACTGGCCAAAACCCTGTCTGCCACTCTTACTACCTTGTCGTTCTTTCCTCTCAACCTGTTGGGCCCCAGTAGAGGTATGTCTAAACTCGTATATCCTTGCAAACTGCTTCAACTCGAACCATTTAGCCTGTGGTCCATTTTCAGTGACTGTGGCAGGGTCTTATGAGCTTAGAGACACCTTCTCTTAGTCACATTGTGTTTGTGAAACTTATTTCAGGGAAGTGAGAATAAATAGCTGAAGCAAGTACAGAGGTTTTTTTTGGTTGTATTAAAAAAAAAAAATCTGCCTGTGGTGCTTCAGGGAGCAGTTTTGAGATGTTTTCAGGGAAGCCTCTTGTATTTGATTAATATTTTTGGTAATTGAAAGTTATCCTAGTTATGCAGCTGACTTTATCATAGGCTTTATCCTGTCTTTATAACAGTGATGCGTATATCACTGGTCCTCCTCTCCAAGATATTTTTATTAGTTCCTAAATGACTTATTGGCATTCTCGTTAAAGTGCATTTTCTTCAGGGAAGGTTGCTGAATCCCTTAAACTCAATCCTGACTAAGGCCAAAAGCTTTTTTTAAGTGTGTGCCCTTCAAAGCGTATTTCTTCTGACATGCAGTGCATGGCCAGGGTAACTCCCGGTCTGTACCTCTGGCAATGACACTCCCAGTTTGTTGACAGGACACAGGTTTTATTTTTATCAGATTAACATGTACGCAGTCAGGCTCTGACCTTTGCTCCTGTGTGTTTTGTGAAGTGCTCTAGAAAATGTCTGCTTTCATAGTCT